TCCTAGCCACTTAATTCTGAGTGAAGAAACTAAGTCCAGGTATTTCCACCAAAGTCCATGGTGTTCACCCTTGTGATGGAAACAAAATAATATGCACTTGGGGATCCCACATCTGTGATAAAACACTCTCGCTTAAAATCAAGGGTGGTCCAGTGGTTAAAAACCCACTTTCCTATGCAGGGGACATGGGTTCGATCCCTGGTAGGGGAACTAAGACCCTATATGCCACAGAGGAACTAAACCAGACTGCTGCAACTAGAGAGCTCTCGAGTCACAACTACTGAGCCTGTGCGCTCTAGAGCCCACGCGCTACAAGTGAAGCTGGCACACCAAACTAGAGGATGTTCACACAGCACAGCAAAGGACCAGCAGAGCTCAAAAGAACAAAAACACACAAAACAGATGGCAAGCCCGAGACGCAGGAGTGTGGTCACTGCAGGGTTGTGGGGAGGGGACAGAGGCACTGGGGCTGCTGGGGGTTACTGTCGAGTGTTCCCTAAGCCTGACCTGCTGGGCAGCGGTCTCTTGGGTGCGGATTACACGGTGCATGTGTTTGGCCTCTCAGTCATGTCTGACTCCTTGCAATCCCATGGACTGTAGCCCCCCAGGCTCCTCTATCCATGGAATTTTCCAGGCAAGACTACTGGAGTCGGTTGCCATTTCCTACTCCAAGGGATATTCCTGACTGAGGATTTGAACCCACTGACAGGCAGATTCTTTACCACTGCACCACCTGGGAAGCCCATTGATTCCAATATTGATGCATAAGTATACCATCCATCATGAAATCATGCCTAGAGAGCCACCCTTTCCAGGGACAGTGCCCGCACCCTTCCAACTGAGCAAGGGACGCCTCTGACTGTCTGATCACCATCCACCACACTTCAGCTCCACATCCCTTCCTCGCCAAACTTCCCACAGCCCACCCCTGAGCCTGGAAGGATGCCTCACATTTCCTGATGAGTGATCCCCAAGGACGGAGGCAAGGAGCCACCCTCAGACCCTGCACATCTGAGTCTCACCCTCAGGAAGGATTTGAGCAGGCCTTTTCTGTCCATCTGCAGAAGGTTCCCCAGGAAGGGCAGAGGACGGGGGCCAGGCGGGAGGCGGCCATGGGCCTTTGGGCGGCCTCTGGCGAGGAGGACCCAGAGTCCAGTGAGCAGAGCAAGGAGAAGGAGTATGGTGAATTCCATGGCCACAGTCCGAAGGTCTCCCAACCTGCTGGGCTTCTGGCTGAGCCTTTTATGCTAAGCCTGCCTCCACATCCAGTTATATAACATCACCCATAACTTGGCATCCTCTGAGTGTGTGAACTCAAAACAGAAGGAGCACATACTTCCTGCTCCCGGGGTCAGCTGACCTGCTCCCCTGATGCCTCTACAGCGCCCCCCCCCCACCAGATGCTGGCAGAGACACCCCGGTAGCCATAACAAGGTCCCATGAGTCTGTTGGCTTTTATGGGTATGGGGAGCACCCGTTGTCTCCTGGCTTTAGCTCTGTTCTTGGGTTTGTGTTTAATACTTTGGTGCATACCTGCTTGCGTGTGTGTGCTTGCATGATTCTTACACATGAAAGAGGCCTTGTATTTGTGTGAACATGCCCATATCTGTTTCTGCACATGAGTGTGAGTGTGCTTACACATATGTCTCTGCACGTATGTGGATCTATGTATTTATGTGGTGCCTCACATGTGAAGGTGCGTTGTGTTTTCGTGGTGGTGGTGGTGGGGTGGGTCTGTGTGTGTGAGTCTGCATGTGTGTGTGTGTGTGCCCATGTGCATCAGACAGTCCCTGTCACTACAGACCTTGCAGACACTCAGTCTTTATCTCTCCAGCCCCCCTTCCTTCGCCCTCCCTCCTGTGAGAGCCACAGATGGGAGAGGCAGGAGAAACGAAACAATCGGGGTGAGAGACACAGCTCTGGGGTCTTCAGATCTCCAATGCCCTGAGTTTTCTCCCTGCCTCCTGCTCCATCTTCACAGTGGCAGGACTTTCCTCCATCCCGCTATGACAGTCCATATCTGTGTGTGTGTACCTCTCCTGCTGTCTCTCTCTGTCTGTGTGTCTGTCTCACTCCTTTAACTTGAGCTCCAGGAGCAGAGACTGTGTGCAGTATGATCAATGTCAGCTGGCCTGTCTCCAGCCTCCCCTGAGCTTTGGCAGGCTCCATTTGTATTTACCAAATATGCTAATGATTCTGTCTGTGTCCACGTGTCATGTCCTGGGTCTGGCTTTCCACCTCCCTCTGTCTCTCCTCTTAGAAGGAGGGTGGCAGTCTCTTTCTTGCAATGTTACACAAACCTCTTGAGGACCCAAACCTCTGATCCCAGCAGTTGAGTCAGACTCCCCCAGCCCAGTGTCCCTTGATCTCTTGAAGAGGTGGGACCTGTACTTTCCTGACCTTGGAGAGAGGCCACCATGAACTTTCCTTAACCCAGGTCCTGGGTTCCGCTGTGCTGTGTGAACTGGCACTGAACTTGGGTCCTTATTCCAGGCCCAGGAATCACCGATGGGGAGACATGAAGTGCTTTACACAGAGGAAATCACCTAATCCTCACTCAGTTAATGGAGTGAATCACAGAGAGGTTAAGATCCTGCCCAAGGTCACACAGCCATCTAGAGGTAGCAGCAGGAGTCAAGCGCAGACAGTCTAGCTCCAGAATCTGTTCTTCCAACCACTGGACCGGGATGCCTTTCTGAGAGAGATGCAGAGAGAGACAACAGACAAAGAGAAGCAGAAGGAAAAAGAAATGGAAAGGGTGAGAGGCAGAGAGGACAGTAAGTTCTAAGGGGAAGAGTTATCTGGGTAAGTAAGCAAGGGGAAGCTTGGGTATATGCCAGGGTCCAGCCCCGGCAGGATCCAGGGGAACCCTCAGGATGAACGGCGTCGGCGAGAGAGAGACACGTAGGACTGGCCTTGATGGGGCCAAGTCTGCGAGGGAGAGAGAGAAAGAAAGAAAGAGACCAGACCAGGAATATGTAGCAGAGTCTGGCAGTTGCTTTATTTTTTCACCATAGCCTTTATACCCTAAGTCGGTACATTTTTAAGGGGCAGATAAGCATACAGACTTGGTTTAACATTACATCAGCTTGTCCTTCACGAAGCCAGGTGTGCTCTGTATGTTTTTGTTTATGAGAGTCTTTTCCCATAGATTTTTTCTACATTATCTTCTGGCCTTGAGCTCAGCAGAAAACAGAAAAGTGGCAGTCTCATGGTACAGCAAGTTGTAACATAATAGAAATACAATCCTGTTAACATAAAGTCAGTCTTTTTGCAGAAGTTCTCAGCTAAATTTATCTAAAAAGTTTAACACACAAAGACTCTGTGGCTCTGGTGAGGCAGCCCCTGTTTAGCACTCTTGGCTAAAATTAACAATTATCTTATTGTTTTTACACTAGGGCTAAACTCTTATTTTACTATATCTTTTAACTATATTAACAATTGTTTCCACTGCACAACCTCAGCAACATTAACATCAATCAAACATTGATCTAATAACCACTTTTAAAACAATATTTTTTTTTAATTTTCTAATAGGGCTTCCTCACCCCCCAAAGGGCTCTGTGCCTATTAGGGCCTTTTTAATGGTTAATCTCTATGTATAATATCTTTTGGCTTTCAGGCCTGTTGACAATTTATGGCTTGCACCTGGTGCAACTTTAAGCAACTTCAGTAGCCGACCCTGTCTTTTTTGTGGTTAATCTATTTTCTTTCTATTAGGTGTCATCTCCAAGCGAACTAGATAGGATTACATTTTCACAGAACAGAAATGCAAAGGATTGCAAAAACAGCAGATATGGCACAAAACAGGCTCTTAGTCTAAAAGTTAATTACCTGCAAGAAGTCGCCAGCTAATCTCTATCTAAACTATTTTCTATTAGGCACATTTGTGGCTATAATATTTGTGGAGCTTTTCTCACCCCACGAAGGGGCCTATGCTTAATAGTTTCTTTTGTTAGCGTACTGTACTTAGGATGTTTAGAATAATCATGAGCATTTTGTGCAATGAGAGCACACATTTATCAAATAAGCCAGAATGCCAGCCAAAGGGTTTGAATTGAAGCATTTCCTTCATCCCTGGCCCCTTCATAGGGTACCAGCGTCCAGGAGATTTATTAATTAGCTTTTAAGTTGGTCTTTATTCAGGGAAAAAGGAGCAGGAGAGCTCTCGGCAGGCAACACAAGAATCTGCAGCAGGGCAAATAAGAATAGCAGAAAAAGGGGGGAGGATATAGGGTAGGATAGAGGCGGAGGCCAACCTGGAGGGTCCCTTATCCTAGATGGCCTTGCCTGCCCGGTATTTTCTTCATGACCTCGTCACGGGCGGGACCCCCCATAACGGCTCCCGGCAGGTATACAAACTGCTTTCTTTCCCACAGGACTTCTCTGAGCCCTTAGATTGTGAACATGAGCTGTCAATCACTCAACAAGAGGAGACTTGACACGAGCTCCCAGTCTATTTGGAGGACACATCACAATCTCTTAGGCAAGTGTCTGCTGCTCTTTGAGCTTCCGGTTTGCTCATCAGGAAAATGTGGGTACCTACCCAATAGGATATTTATGAGAATGGATATGAGACCCAATGTGCAGGGCGCCTGGGCCAAAGTAAGTGTTCTATGAATGCATTGTGGCCACACAGAGAGACACAGAGACTCAGAGACCAAGACTGAGGAAGGCAGAGAGACAGACAGACCCAGAAAGAGAGACTTGAGACATGACTGAGACAGACACCCATGGCAAGGGTATGGCGAGACCTCAAAGGACACAGCAGATGTTGACTCATTCATTCAATAAGACATTATTGGGTGCCTAATGTGTGCCAGGCCGTTTTAGGCACTGGGGACACAGCAGTGAACAAAATGTGAATATCTTCCCTCTCACAGAGCTAACATTCTAGCGGGAGGGTCAGATAACAATAAATGGTGATACATTCAGTAAATTCCCATAGTGACAGGTAACATACAGGCATCAAGCCCTGGGTTGTCCTTCCTGGTTGTCTATCACCTGTATGCATTTAGTTTGATCAGCATCCACCCGTGCTGGGTACAGAGTGGTTTGCTAATCACCCTGGGAGTGGGACACATTTTATTGTCAGGGAAGGAGGCACAAAGGTGGAAATGGTGATACCTGAGATCTGAGAGGACAGGTATGGCAAGGAGGCAGGCAGAGAGATAACGAGACATGCAGAGGGAAACCCAGAAGCCCCGAGACGGACGGACAGGGGACAGACATGAGCACGGGAGAAGTGCAGGCACTTGTGTAGGGCCTCCCCGGTGCCGCCCCTGTTGGGGCTCCCCTGGTAGCTCAGATGGTAAAGCGTCTGCCTGCAGTGCAGGAGACCTGGGTTTGATCCCTGGGTCGGGAAGATACCCTGGAGAAGGAGATGGCAACCCACTCCAGTACTCTTGCCTGGAATATCCCATGGATGCAGGAGCCTGGTGGGCCACAGTCCACGGGTCCGCAACGAGTCGGACACGACTGGGCGACTGCCCTGGCCCTGGTGGTTGTGGCTGTCTAGTTGCTAAGTCATGTCCGACGGCCTCCAGCACTGTCTGTGTGGTTCTCAGACCCGGCCGTGCCTCTCTTCCCTCACCTGTCAGATGGGGATAACGTCCAACCCCTTCCCCAGGGATGTTGTGAGAGTTCAGTCAGGTGTCACACCTACACTTGTTAAACCCTGGTGGTTCAGCGGCTAAGACTCTGCGCTGCCAAACCAGGGGGCCCAGGTTCCATCCCTGGCCAGGGAACGAGATCCCACATATCACAACTAATGATCCCCCACGCTGCAAACTAAAGACTCTGCATGCCACCACTAACACCCAGCATAGCCAAATAAATAAAAATTAGAAATATTTAAACAAACAAAAAAGCAACTTGGGTAGATTCTAGCATGTATTACCCATTACACACTTCTTTTCCTGCTAAAGTCAATTGAAACATCGGGAGGTTTGCTCCAAATCCTCTTTTGCACAATGGTTTTAGAATAATTCTTTTAACTGCATCTGGTTAAATTGCTTAGAGAAGCCAAGCACACACTATGGCTGAGTCCCTTTGCTGTTCACCTGAAGTTATCACAACATCGTTGTTAATTAGCTGTGTGCTCCGCTTAGTCTTTCACTCATGTCCGACTCTCTGCAACCCCATGGACTGCAGCCCGCCAGGCTCCTCTATTCATGGGGATTCTCCAGGCAAGAATACTGGAGTGGGTTGCCAATTCCTTCTCCAATGTATGCATGCATGCTAAGTCGCTTCAGTCATGTCCGACTCTGTGCGACCCTATTGACAGCAGCCCACCAGGCTCCTCTGTCCACATGATTCTCCAGGCAAGAACACTGCAGTGGGTTGCCATTTCCTTCTCCAATTCATGAGTGGAAACACTGGTGAATGGAAGAATGCTAATGAATGGATGTATTATTAACTTATCAGAGACTAATTTACTACTAAATGATCCATAGACAAAAAAATAAATGAACTTGATGGACCAATAATTCATATGAATGGTTGGATGGCTAAACTTATGGAAGAACATGTGAATGAATACATTTAAAGGAACAGGCAAACAGAGAAATCAGTGGGTGGTTGGATGGATTGAATGTTAGATATATAAATCAAGGGTGAATAATTAGTGCATTAATAACTAATAAATGAAAAGATAGATGGATGAAGGATGAAGTGAAAAACAAGCAATGGAAGGATTAATGTATGTAACCTAGTTTTAGAAAAACAGATGGATGCATGAATAAATGAAGAAACAGATGAATCAGTGACAAACACTTCATTCAATGAATCACTGTTTCAAATGATCAATAGATGTATCAGTTTGTCCAAATAAAGCATGGATGTATATATCCTAGATGAATCACAGATGAAAGAATCTGAGTGCACAGGTTGATTGATGAGTTGAAAGGGCAGACAGGTAAATGAGTGGGTCGATCTTTAAATGACAGAAGAACCAGTGGGAAAACAGATTGACAGATTTTGTGGGTTTTTTGGCCACGCTGCGCTACTTGGCATATCTTAGTTTCCTAACCAGGGATTGAACCCATGGCCATGGTAGTGAAAGTACTGAGTCCTAAGCACTGGACCTCCAGGGAACTCCCCAGACTGACAGATTCTTCATTGATCCATCCACCAACAGGGCTGGCTTAGTTGGGTAGATCATTCAAAACCTGCACTGGTCCAAGGACTTCCCTGGTGGTCCAGTGGTTAAGGCTGCTCACTGCCACAGCATGGGGTACAAATTCAATCCCTGGTCAGGGGGGAAGGGAAACAGAAAAACAAAAACAACCTACAGGCTCTCCTGGTATTAGAGGGGAAAGCTGCCTCTCTCCTTCACCAAAGACCTCTAGCCCCATTTCTGGACCTGCAGAGGGGTCAGAAGCCCCTCGCAGTGTCCGTCCCCGGCCTGCCCACCTGCGATGTGCGGGTACTTGAGCATCAGCAGGAACCCGTAACGGAGCGTGGTGCTGGTTGTCTCCGTGCCAGCAAAGAAGAGCGACAGAACAGACATGATGAGGTTCTGATGATCAAAGTGGCTTTGGGGGTCGGACTTATCCTGAATCCAGACAGGTGGGGTTCACATCAGGGGAGGCCGGGGGCCCTGCTGCCCACACTTCTTCTCTCCGGGTGCCTCCGCCTGTTTCTGGGTCTTACACCTTCTGGCCCTTTCCCCTTTCCTCTATGCCACGTGTGTCCCACCGTCTCTCTATCTCGGTCTCAATCTCCCTTCACTCTGTCTTGCTCTGTTTCAATCATCTTCCATCTCTTTGGTGTGTTTGTCCCCTTCCTCCCCCAGTCTCTCTGCCTCCGTGACTCTTTTCACCAGCTGCTGCATTGTTCCCCTTGTCCTGTATTTCCCGGACCTCTGTCTCCTCCCCAGCAGCTACCCCCTCTTTCCTCTCTCCCTCTACTCCCTTCCAAAGCTCCCCTCCCCTCTCCCTTCCCCCCACTGCTCTACTCCTCTTCCCTCCCTTTTCACCCTATGTCTTTTGTTCTCCTCCCTTCCACCCCATTGCCTCTCCCAAATCCCACTTTTTCCATGCGGAGCAGGTAGCAGTCAATGAAATCCTGGGGGGCATTGGGGTCGAGGGTCTCACGGTGCTTCTCCACGCTGCGGCCAATGAAGACGTTGATTTCCTGCAGGTTTTTGTAGATTTGCCTGTGTGAGCCAGGAAAGTACTTCAGGAAGCTGGGGTAGAGTTCGAACACCTGCAGGAGAGAAGGGACTGTGAGGCCCTTGCAGGGTTCAGCTAGCGGGTCACAGGGAGGGACAGCCCTTCTGCCCAGTACCCTCACAAGCGATCTCTGTTTTCCTGTCTCTCTCTCCATCTCTCTCTGCCTCTCTGGGGTATTGATCTCCCTGTCTCTGTCTCTCTCTCCATCTCTCTGTCTCTGTCTCCCTCCGGCTCCTACTCTGTATCTGAGCCCCTCACTCACTGCTTCTGTGTCTCCTTTGTGTAAGAGATCACATTTTTCTCTTTCTGCATCTTTCCCCCTCTCCCTGTGTCTTCTTGTTAGTCTCTGGCCCACCTGTCTCTCTCTCCCTTCCACCTCTCCTCATCTCCAGGGTCTCCTGCTGATCTACCCTCTGCCCTGCCCCTGCCTACCCCAGCCAGTTTATCTCTTCTACTCAAACCTCTCTCTGCCTCTTTCCACCTCTTGCATCAGCCTTGCTGTGTCAGGCGTTGATAACACGATGCTTACACAAAATGAAGCTGCTGACTCTCTGGGAGCATAGGTCTATTGCTTTGCCTAATGAGAAATGTAACATTTAACTTGTTGCCAACAATTGCAAGAAATGCAGGATAGTATAAACTACGATGTGGAATTCCTCTTTCACCTGTCCTTCAAGAGATAACATGGTTAACTGTTTGGCAGAACTCCTTCCAGACTTTTCCCCTCTCTGTGATTCTCTGTGAGAGAAGAAAATTGAAACCCCGTGTTGGACTTGTGGAAATACTCATCTGAACCTCCCTCCAGATTTTCCAGGCCTGACTCTCCACTAGGAGGTCATGGGAATTTGGATTTGCCATATTCATTCCTGTGACTCTGATCTGCACTCTCAGTTGAGAACAGCCAGGCTGACTTTTCTGAAGTTTCACTTTTTAACTGAACATACAGTAGGGGTGGGGCTCAGAAGGTAAAGAATCTGTCTGCATTGCCAGGGTCGGGAAGATCCCCTGGAGGAGGAAATGGCAACCCCCTCCAGCATTCATGCCTGGAGAACTGCATGGACAGAGGAGGAGCCTGGCAGGCTACAATCCCTCGATCACAAAGAGTCAGACACAACTGAGGGACCAACACTTTCACTTTTTGCAATAGGGGTATTTCTAGGTTAATTGAGAAAGACACACTTTACCTTTTTGTTTTAAGAGAGGAGCAGGTTCATGTGTGTGTCTTTGATTCCTCTTTCTGTTTCTCCCTCCTCCATCACTCCCCTTTCTTTCTCTTACTGTCTCAGTCCTTGTCTCACCACCTCTCGCTTCCCCCAGGCATCTGTGTCCCTGTCTCTCTCTCACTCTCTGTTGTCTTTGCCCCTCTTCGGGCTGGAAGCTGCCTTTCCAGTTCCCAAAAGCAAATCACCCCTCTCCCCTGCCTGGATGTCCACCCAAGGTCTGCCCTCCTGCACCTGGCTGGACAGGGAGCTGATGAGCACGAAAGATTGGAAGAACAAGTCCAGCAGCCTCAGGAACTCAGGATCTCTGTAGTCAAAGCGTTTTCCGAAGACAATGGAGCAGATGTTGGCGGTGATGGAGTGGAAGTAGAAGACGGGATCCTGGAGGGCTCCTAGACGGAAAGGGGTGGGTCGCAGGACACAGACTCAAGGGCCAGGGGAGCTGTCTCTGTGTGACTCTCCTCTATCACTCAGTCACAATTAAAAAAAAAAAAACAGCCTCATCACAACCAATACTCGCTAGCCTAGAAGTTGTGCCAGACCCTATTCTAAGCACTTCACATATTATTTTATTAAATTCTCATCTCACCAGAGCACGTGTTCAATCAATTGCAGGTGCCATTGACAAAGTTCTGTTCTCCTGGTCCTTAAATGTCTGCACTTCCTCCCCACTCCCATCTTTTCCATCCACCCCTAGGGCTCTCTGGTCCTTTGGGAACTGTTCTGCACTTGATTGTTGGTGTCTGGATGTGCCAAGCTCGTCCCAGGCGGAGGGAGGGAGGGCTGTGCACCCAGGAGTGTAGGTCAGTGCGGCCTCTCCCTGGGTCTCTCCTGTCCACTGTCTCTTTTTCCCTTGCACACCCTTTCCTGAGCCTGTCTGTCTCTCTTCAATCTTCATACCTCAGTTTCTCTCTGCCATTGTTCCTTCCTGTCTCTCTGAGTCTCCTCTTTTTGCCTCGATCCCTCCATCTCTGTCTCTTTCTTCCTCTCTGTGTCTCCACCTGAATCACTCTGTCTCCTCTTGTCTTATTCTGAGTCCTTCCATCCTTATACCTCTAGAGCTGCCCGTGGCTCTGCCTCTTCCTCCATTTATGTCTCAAAATCTCTTAAGAAAGCATCTTGTCACCTCTATGTTTCAGACAGGACATTTCTGAGGACTCCTAAAGCCCCCAGAAGTGCCCACCTAACTTCCTAAAAGCAGAAAATCGCGACTGCCCCCCTTGCTCACTGTCAGTTGTTCACCCAAAGAAAGGAAAACACAGTATGCCTTTTTTTGAAATGTCTGTTTTCTGTTTTTTTTCTCTTTACTTTCTCTTTATTGAAGGCACATTTTGGTTCTTGACAGATACAATCAAACCATGAACTGGTTCCCTTGAACACAGGCAACAAATGTGCTATTTACTGCCTGAGTCGTCTTTGAGTTCCTCTTGACACTCCACTCCTGTATCTCTCCTGCCCCCCGCATTTCTCACCTACCCGCCTCTTCCCCATCTCTTTGCCCCTCACCCGGTCCCTGCTCCTCTGCGGGCCTCCCAAGCTCTGTCTCCTCTCTGTCTCTCCATCTCTCTCTCTGCCCACCTATACCCTCTCTCTGTGCCCCCTCTGGGTCCCTGCTCCTCTGATGGCCTACCAAGCTCTGTCTCCTCTCTGTCTCGACATCTCTCTCTCTGCCCACCTAAACCCTCTCTCTTTGGGTTACTGTGATCACACTGCTTCCCCGTGTTCCTCTCCTGCCCACCCCCGCCCAGGGCTCACCCGGGGTTTTCCGCAGCTCCTCAACCAGACACTGAGCCTCCTCCTGAATCCGCTCCTCCACGCTCCGCTTTCCCATCCCGAAGTCCCTCGTGGTGGCCAGAGAGAATCGCCGAAGGGCCTTCCAACGTTCCCCGGTGGCAAAGACAACATCTAGGGTTTAGGAGAGGCTTGGGTGGCAGAAGAATTTTCAAGGAGACTCCGGGTCCCGCTCCACCCTTATCTTCCCTTCCCAGACTCACCATCCCCCATCCCCATCCTCATCCCCTGTCCCCTCCCGGTGGGCCTAAGGTCCTTACCATATCCGTGGACAATTGGGTCAATAACGGCGATCTTCGCTCGGCCAGAGAAGGCCTCGGCCTGGTCCACCAGGGCCTCCCGAATGGCCTCTGTCCCACATATGATGACCACTGGCCTCGGCCCCAGGTACACCGTGAAGACATCCCCATATTTCTGTTGGAACTGCCAAGCACACCCACAGCCAGGGCTGCTATTAGTCAGCATGCACCGCTGTCGCCATCTCCATTTTTAAACCAGGAAAACCCTTGTGTGTGTGTGTTAGTCATTCAGTTGTGTCTGACTCTTTGCGACCCCATAGACTGTAGCCCGCCAGACTTCTCTTTCCATGGAAGTCTCCAGGCAAGAAGACTCAAGTGGGTGTCCATGCCCTTCTCCAGGGGATCTTCCCAAACCAGGGATCGAACCTGGGTCTCCTGGATTGCAAGCAAACTCTTTACCATCCAAGCCAGCAGGGAAGCCCTGAAACACTTACATATAGATTGGTAATTAAACACTTACAAAAGATCGATAACTAGTCCCTGACCCAAGACCTTACACCCCAGTCTGCCTTTTTGCTTCCCAGAACCCAGCAACTAAAAGATTAAGCCATGACCCAGCCCAGTCCACACTTGTTGGCTTGGTTGGTGTCTTAAGCAGCATGTGTGTGTGCTAAGTCACTTCAGTCGGGTCCAACTCTTTACGATCCTATGGACCATAGTCCCCCGGGCTCCTCTATCCATAGGATTCTCCAAGCAAGAATAGTGGTGTTGGTTGCCATGCTCTCCTCCAGGGGATCTTTCTGACCCAGGGATCAAACCAACGTCTCTGACATCTCCTGCATTGGCAGGTGGGTTCTTTATCACTAGCCCCACCTGGAAAGCCCCCTGAGAAGCACAGGTGGCTAAATATTCCTATTAATAATTTCACTCCAGCCCAGGTGATATTCGTTGAGTCTGGTGAGATCTCACTGGCATATCATCTAAAAAATCATCCTTCTTGGAACTTCACTGGTGGTCCACTAGCTAAGACTCTGAGCTCCCAATGCAGGGGCTCATGTTCAATCCCTGCTCAGGGAACTGGATCCCACATGCCACAACTAAGCCTTTGCATGCCACAGTGAAGAGTAGCTAAGACCTAGCACAGGAAAAATAAATAAATAAAATATTTTTTAAAAAATCATCCTTCTTGTGACCCACCTTCAACACCCATCTGCCTCCTGGCAATTTCCCCAGAGAACCACCCACCCACTTGTGGGCCATGAAGCTAAAGTGATGGCTTTCTGGGGGTTATCATGAAATTTGAAAGATCATAACATCAAGTTTTGCCACTGGGGCAACAGCTCAAAAGTATTTACTGAAGTTGGAGGCATGTACACTGAGTAGCTCAGCCACTTCATTCCCAGAAATACACTCAACCAAAATGCATATATGTGCTCAGCAAAATAAGAAACAAGGAGATTCATAGTTGCCTTATAATAAAATGCTCTGCAACATAGGGAATAAACAACTAGTGATGAATTCATAATGTGGGCTACTATACAGCCATGAAAAAAAAACCACTGCTACAACCAACAACAAGAATGAAACTCACAGATGTAATGTTGAGTGAAAGCAACTAGATCCAGAAGACTTCATATGTCATAATTCTATTCATATGAAATTCAGTAACAGAAACAGGAACTTATGGTGTGAGAATAATAGGAGGGTGGTGATTGGAACAGGGACTTAAGGAGGTTTCTGGGCATGAGCCAAGTTGTTACGTATCTGCATGTCAATTCCATTAGTATGTTCTTCTGAGAAAATTCACTGAACTGAGCACTTAGGATTTGTGTACTTTACCCTAAAGGTTAAACTTCACTTACAAGTTGAGTTACAGAAGAGGAAAGACAAACACCATATGATATCACTTATATGTGGAATCTAATGTATGACACAGCCAGGGAACAAAGATTCTGCATGCTGCACAATGTGGCCAAAGAAATAATAATTAAATTAAGGTAACACAGTGTAAAAAAAATTAAATTAAAAAGTGACACAAATGAAACAAATATGATACAAATTAACATACCTAAGAAACAGAAACAGAATCACAGACATAGAGAACAGACTGGTTGTTGTCAAGGGGAAGACACAGGGATGGAGTGGGAGGCTGGGCATAGCAGATATAAGTTTTCAGACATGGAATGGATAGAAAATGAAGACATTCAGTATCCTGAGATAAACCATAATGGAAAAGAATCTTTTAAAATGGAAAGCATATATATGTGCAACGGAATACTTTGCTGCACAGCAGAAATCAACAAAACTTGGGAAATCGACGATACCGCAATTTCAAAAATTGATTAAAAAGTGGACTTAAAATTATAAAAAGGTTAAGTTTGTTGAAAACTCACTCACCGTGACGTCTGCAAACCCTCTTTGCTGGTCTCCTAACTTCCTTTCCTGTGCTACACACAATCCTTTCACTACACACCCCACCCTATCTTGAAACCAGAGCTACCTCATTAAAATGTAAATTAATTGATATCCCTAACCTGTTTCAAACCATCCAGCACTCCTACTACCCTGAGAGTGAGACCTCAAGTTTCCCCATGGTGGACAGCGCCCTACATGATGTTGCCCCATCACCCCTCTGACATCTCCACCCACTCACACAGACCCTTCGATCGCACAGCTCCAGGCTCCCTGTGGTTCCCCAAACATGCTGAGCTTGCTCCTGCTTCTGAGGTCTGCCACTGACACCTGTCGCTCAGTGATATCTTCCACAGGCATCTTTCAGGGTGTCTGATCAGCAACAAGGCAAGATGGAGCCTTGCCTTCACCACTCATTCTAAAGTAGCTTCAAGTATCTCCTGTCACTTTTTTAAAAAAATTATTTATGTTTCATTAGAGAATAATGACTTTACAACATTAGGTTGGTTTCTGCCATATGTCAACATGAATCAGTCGTAGGTATACCTATGTCCCCTCCCTCTTGAACATCCCTTCCACCTCCTACCCCATCCCACTGCTCTAGGTTGTTACAGACCACTGGTTTCTGGCTCCCCCAACTCTTGAAAATATCACCTTGCTTTATTGTAATCATAGTTCTTACCAACCTGTTTCCTTGTCTGTTTGTGTGCCCTGTCTAATGCCACATCATCGATGCCTAGAATGTTTCCCGGCACACAGAGGTGCCCAGTAAGTTACCATTGAATGAATGAATAAATGAATGAATAGATCGAGTAACGTCCTTTTAATGAGCACTTACTGTATACCAAGCTCTGGGCACTATCTAGTCCTCACAAGTCTCTTACGAGGCAGGCATTCTTATCATCACAACCTCATCTTGCTGAAGAGAAGCTAAGATTCAATGAGTAAGAGTTGAATCTGGAACACAAACCCTCATCCATCTGACTCCAGAATGATTTGGAAGTAAATCATGACACCTACTAACCTATGACCTCTCTTTCCCTGCCTCCCTCTATCTCTCTCAACCTCTCTCTCTCTCTCTCCAAAGACACAATGAGAATGGAGGATCATGGGGAATCCCCTGATGGTCCAGTGGTTGGAACTCCAAGCTCCCACGGTAGGGGGCACGAGTTCAATCCCTGGTTGAGGAATTAAGATCCCACACGCCCCGTGACACAACAGGATAAAAAGAGGATCGCGGACACACAAAGGACCCTTGCAAGAGCTATAGAAGAGATTTAGGGGGTCTGGAACTAGCAAAAATTTATGCAAAATGCATGTGAACATTTACGGAGGAGGGGATCCACCGTGCCTTAAACTCCCCAAAGGATTCAGTGATCCCCAAGTTGTCAGGAGACCCAGGAGAAGGGGTTTCCATCCCTGGGTTGGGAAGATCCCCTGGAGTAGAACATGGCAACCCACACCAGTATTCTTGCCTGGAGAATCCCATGGACAGAGCAGCCTGCCAGGCTACAGTCCCTGGGGTCACAAAGAGTCGGGCACAGCTGAGCGTGCATGTGATAACAATAAATAAAATAGCAAATTACTAGGCAGCTTCCGTCTGTGAAGGAGAAGAAGAGGCCTCCGTGCTGGACTCGCACATCCCCTCTCTGAAGTCCCAGGGTGTAACTACGGACCAGTGCCTTCCCCGGGCTCACCTCACTCTCTATTTCTCTAAGGTGAGGGCGACTCCTCTTCTTGGCCACGAGCTGTTGTAACCACGACCTGATGAATTTGCTCCATGATACTAATAAATCCTAGCCACTTAATTCTGAGTGAAGAAACTAAGTCCAGGTATTTCCACCAAAGTCCATGGTGTTCACCCTTGTGATGGAAACAAAATAATATGCACTTGGGGATCCCACATCTGTGATAAAACACTCTCGCTTAAAATCAAGGGTGGTCCAGTGGTTAAAAACCCACTTTCCTATGCAGGGGACATGGGTTCGATCCCTGGTAGGGGAACTAAGATCCCACATGCCACAGAGGAACTAAACCAGACTGCTGCAACTAGAGAGCTCTCGAGTCACAACTACTGAGCCTGCGCGCTCTAGAGCCCACGCGCTACAAGTGAAGCTGGCACACCAAACTAGAGGATGTTCACACAGCACAGCAAAGGACCAGCAGAGCTCAAAAGAACAAAAACACACAAAACAGATGGCAAACCCGAGACGCAGGACTGTGGTCACTACAGGGGCTGGGGGGAGGGGACAGAGGCGCTGGGGGGAGGGGACAGAGTCACTGGGGCTGCTGGGGGCTACTAAGCCTGACCTACTGAGCAGTGGGCTCGTGGGTGCGGATTACACGGTGCATGTGCTCGGTTGCTCAGTCGTGTCTGACTCCTTGCAGCCCCATGGACTGTAGCCCCCCAGGCTCCTCTGTCCATGGAACTTTCCAGGCAAGACTACTGGAGTCGGTTGCCATTTCCTACTCCAAGGGATATTCCCGACCAAGGATTCGCACCCACTGACAGGCAGATTCTTTACCACTGCACCACCTGGGAAGCCCATGGATTCCATTATTGATACATAAATAGATCATCCATAATGAAATCATGCCTGCAGAGCCGTGATACAGGGCCTGGTAAACACTCCAGGATCAGCTACTCATTGCACGTTCATGTCAACAATTGGTAAGAACTTGGGACCTGGCCTCCTTGTTCCCCCTCCCTCCTCCTCTTTGTCTGGCACTGGCTGGGGCCAATCTTTCACAGCTTTTGTTGGCAGAGGAGAAACCTATTGACTGGTACCACCACCCCTTCTCTCTCTCTCCCTGTGGCAGGCAGGGACTCGGGAGAGGGGGACAGAGGAGCAGGGATTTCTATACCCCCGGCTCACACCCAGACACCACTTCACGCCCACCCACCCTCTCCAGGGACAGTGCCCACACACTTCCATCTGAGCAAGGGACGCCCCTGACTGCCTGATCACCATCCACCACACTTCAGCTCCACATCCCTTTCTCGCTGAACTTCCCACAGCCCATCCCTGAGCCTGGAAGGATGCCTCACATTTCCTGATGAATGATCCCCAAGGACAGAGGCAAGGAGCCACCCTCAGACCCTGCACATCTGAGCCTCACCCTCAGGAAGGATTTGAGCAGGCCTTTTCTGTCCATCTGCAGAAGGTTCCCCAGGAAGGGCAGAGGACGGGGGCCAGGCGGGAGGCGGCCATGGGCCTTTGGGCGGCCTCTGGCCAGGAGGACCCAGAGTCCGGTGAGCAGAGCAAGGAGAAGGAGTATGGTGAGCTCCATGGCCGCAGTTCAAATGTCTCCCAACCTGCTGGGCTTCTGGCTGAGCCTTTTATGCTAAGCCTGCCTCCACACCCAGTTATGTCACATCACCCATACCTTGGCATCCTCTGAGAGTGTGAACTCAAAACAGAAGGAGCACATACTTCCTGCTCCAGAGGTCAGCTGACCTGCTCCCCTGATACCTCTATAGCCCCTCCCTAGATGCTGGCAGAGACACCCCGGTAACAAGGTCCCCATGAGTCTGTTGACTTTTGTGGGTATGGGGAGCACCCGTTGTTTGCCGGGAACCAACACATGAGGTCCTACCCATGACAAGGTCATGAGGGAGAAAACCTGACAGGCAAGGTGGATCAGGTTTTCAGGGATTCAGAAAAGCTGCCCCCGGTGCTCACCTTAAAGATGATATCTATCTTTCTGATGCTTGCTTCTATAAACTACTCCCTAATTTCTGTGACACAGGCAGAAGGCCTTCCCCAATCTCTTTCCAAATAAGAATCAATTTAGAACTTTAATCAATAAGTTTCCCAGGTGGTGGTATTTTATGAGATTATCCAGGGTGAAAGGAGTGTTTTAATTTAAACTCCTTTGCTGGTATTTTAGTTTGTTTGGCAAATGTGTCTATGTCCTTGGTACTAATATGCATGACTGCTCATAATACCTTAATCATAAAACAGCATAAAGAACCTGATTATATAAAAGCCCTAATAGACATAAAGCCTTTTTGAGGGGTGAAGGAGTCCTATTAGAAAACATAAGAAAAATTATTCTAATGGCGGTTATTGGGTTGATGTTTGCTTGCTGTGTTTTTGCTTTTAATGTGCTAAGGTTGTGTTATAGAAACCATTGTTAATATAGTTATAGATCTAGAAAAATAAGAGCTTAGCCCTAGTGTGATAACAATGAAACAGTTGTTAATTATTAGCCAGGAGGCTAGGCAGGGGCTGCCTCACCAAAGTCGCAGAGTCAGTGTCGGGTAAACTTCTTAGATAAACTCAACTGACAACTTCCACAGAAGGATTTAATTTTTGTGTTAACAAGGTTATACTTCTACTCTGTACTGTTGCCCTATGAGACTTCTACCTTGCAGTAAAGGTCACCATAGAAACAGAAAATAGGTTTACATTCACCTGACTTGCATAAAATGTTAATAGGCCCCAAGGCCAGAAGATAATGTACAAGACCCTCATAAACAAATAAGTATGCAGAAAACACCCTGGTTTCAAAAGGAGAAACTGATGTAATGTTAAACTATCTTCCCCTCAGAAATGTACTAACTTAGGGTATAAAAGCTATGGTAAAAAATAAAGCATTGCCAGACTCTGCTGCAACCCCCATCTGGTCACTCTCTCTCTCCCTCTCTCTCTTTCTCTCTCTCTCCCTCGCAGACTTGGCCCTATCAAGGCTGGTCTCACGTGTCTTCTCTCGCTGATGCTGTTCATCCCGAGGGTACCCCCTAGATCCTGCTGGGGGTGGACCCCAGCAATTGTCTCCTTGCTTTAGCTGTGTTCGTGGGTTTATGTTTACATACCTTGGTGCATACCTGCTTGCGTTTGTGTGCTTGAATGATTCTCACACATGAAAGAAGGTTTGTATTTATGTGAACATGCCCATGTCTGTTTCTGCACATGAGTGTGAGTGTGCTTACACATATGTCTCTGCACGTGTGTGGACTTCTATGTATTTATGTGGTGTCTCACACCTGAAGGTGTGTTGTGTTTTCATGGTGGTGGTGGTGGTGGGGTGAGTCCGTGTGTGTGAGTCTGTGTGTGTGTGCGCGTGAGTGCGCATCAGACAGTCCCTGCCACTACAGAGCTTGCAGACACCCAGCCTTTATCTCTCCAGCACCCCCCCCTCCTTCGCCCTCCCTCCTGTGATAGCCACAGATGGGAGAGGCAGGAGAAACGAAACAATCGGGGTGAGAGACACAGCTCTGGGGTCTTCAGATCTCTGATGCCCTGAGTTTTCTCCCTGCCTCCTGCTCCATCTTCAAAGCGGCAGGACTTTCCTCCATCCCCCGATGACAGTCCACATCTGTGTGTGTGTCTCTCCTGCTGTCTCTCTCTGTCTCTGTGTCTGTCTCACTCCTTAAACTCTGAGCTCCAGGAGCAGAGACTGTGTGCAGTTTGATCATGTTCACTCAGCTGGCCTGTCTCCAGCCTCCCCTGAGCTTTGGCAGGCTCCATTTGTATTTACAAAATATGCTAATGATTCTGTCTGTGTCCACTTGTCGTGGCCTGGGTCTCGCTTTCCACCTCCCTCTGTCTCTCCTATTTACAAGGAGAGTGGCAGTCTCTTTCTTGCAATGTTACACAAACCTCTTGAGGACCCAAAACTCTGATCCCAGCAGTTGAGTCAGACTCCTCCAACCCAGTGTCCCTTGATCTCTTGAAGAGGTGGGACCTGTACTTTCCTGACCTTGGAGAGAGGTCACCATGAACTTTCCTTAACCCAGGTCCTGGGTTCCGCTGTGCTGTGTGAACTGGCACTGAACTTGGATCTTATTCCAGGCCCAGGATTCACTGATGGGGAGACATGAAGTGCTTTACACAGAGGAAATCACCTAATCCTCACTCAGTTAATGGAGTGAATGACAGAGAGGTTAAGATCTTGCCCAAGGTCACACAGCCATCTAGAGGTAGCAGCAGGAGTCAAACCCAGACACGAGGGGAGAGGCCTGGAATAGATTCTCTCCCATGGCTTTTAGAAGGAATCAACTCTGATGACTCTGTGATCCTTGTTACAGCAGACTTAGCAAGCTAATATAGACTGGGATGACCCCAGATGGAAAATCACATGATATATCAGTTTCCTATGGCTGATATAAAAAACAATCACAAACTCAGTGCCTGCAAATAACACAAATGTATTATCGTACAGCTTATTTATTTCCTTAGCTGTATCATCTTACAGCTTTTTTATTCCTTTTTATTACCTTACACGTTTTCAGTTTCTAGATGCTGCATCTCTTGGTTCATGGCCCCTTCCTCAGTCTTCAAAGCCAGGAGCATAGCATCTGCTTTCTTCTCTGACCTCTGTCACTGTCCTTAAATCTTCTCTATGTCTGATCATTCTGCCTGGCTCCTTTTTTTTTCTGGGGGGACACACCACATGGCTTGCAGGATCTTAGTTCCCCAACAAGGGATAGAACCTGTGCCTCCTGCAGTGGAAGCATGGAGTCATAACCACTGGACCACCGGGGAATTCGCTCTGCCTCCCTCTTATAAAAACTCTTACTGTTACACTGGGTCCATCCAGATAATCCAGGTTAATCTCCCCACCTCAAGATACTTAACTTCGTCCCAAATGCAAAGCCCCCATGCCATGAAAGATATTTTAACATATTCTCAGGGTGTACAGATTAGGACACAGAGATCCCTAGCACAAGGTGGGGAGATACTACACAGGACTTTGCAGGCTGGGTCCATGGCAAGTGACCCTGAGATGGACAATCGTGCATAAGACCCCTGTTGGTTCTCATCACTCAATGGACATGAATGTGAGCAAACTCCAGGAGACAGTGAAGGACAGGGAAGCCTGGCATGGTCTAGTCCATGGGGTCACGGAACATCAGACATGACTTAGTGACTGAACAACAATAACAAATTCCTGAGGGAGGACCTGGGAGCCATGGAATGGCTTTGAGCAGGAGAGTGAAATGGTAAGATATGTGCTTGGAAGGGACCGCGCTCTGGCTGCCAAGTGGGGAGTGGCTGAGAGAACTTCTTGCCTCTCTTGACCTTGGCACAGATACATCCTTCCACCCCACCTTCCTGATTTGCTGCTTCATCTCCAGCATCATCTGTTCCATGATCTTTGACCATTGTTTTGACTACAAGGATGAAGACTTCCTAGGGCTTCTGGCTGAAAACCTGCAGCAGGTGGACAATTTCGGGGTGAAGGTACCTGCTGAAGCCACCCCAACCCCAATCGCACAGCCCTTCCTCCAAAGTCCCTTCTTTCCGTTCGAATGTCTGCCAACATAAATAAGCCTGTCAAACTTCCAAACTCATTCTATGAGGCCACCATCACCCTAATACCAAAACCAGACAAGGATGCCACACAAAAAGGAAAACTACAGGCCAATATCACTGATGAACATAGATGCAAAAATCCTTAACAACATTCTAGCGAACAGAATCCAACAACATATTAAAAAATTCATGCATCATGACCAAGTGGGCTTTATCCCAGGAATGCAAGGATTCTTTAATATCCACAAATCAATCAATATAATACACCACATTAACAAATTGAAAGATAAAAACCATATGATTATCTCAATAGATGCAGAAAAAGCCTTTGACAAAATTCAACATCCATTTATGATAAAAATTCTCCAGAATGCAGGAATAGAAGGAACATACCTCAACATAGTAAAAGCTATATATGACAAACCCACAGCAAACATTATCCTCAATGGTGAAAAATTGAAAGCATTTCCCCTAAAGTCAGGAACAAGACAAGGGTGTCCACTCTCACCACTACTATTCAACATAGTTTTGGAAGTGTTGGCCACATCAGTCAGAGCAGAAAAAGAAATAAAATGAATCCAGATAGGAAAAGAAGTAAAACTCTCTCTGTTTGCAGATGACATGATCCTCTGTATAGAAAACCCTAAAGACTCTACCAGAAAATAACTAGAGCTAATCAACAAATATAGTAATGTTGCAGGATATAAAATTAACACACAGAAATCCCTTGCATTCCTATACACTAACATTGAGAAAACAGAAAGAGAAATTAAGGAAACAATACCATTCACCATTGCAACAGAAAGAATAAAATACTTAGGAGTATATCTACCTAAAGAAACAAAAAAACCTATATATAGAAAATTATAAAACACTAATGAAAGAAATCAAAGAGGACACAAACAGATGGAGAAATATACCGTGTTCATGGATTGGAAGAATCAATATTGTGAAAATGAGTATACTACCCAAAGTGATCTATAGATTCAATGCAATCCCTATCAAGCTACCAACTGTATTTTTCAGAGA